GATTACCTCGAGTTCTATGATGTTACCAATCACCCTTCCCCAATAGAAGCTGGTCCTCAACTTCATCACTTTCGCTCAAGCTCTCTTGAAAATGAGGCCTCTTTGCTTGAGGGTTGTTGGAAAGAATGCATCAGAAGGAATACTGTGATACTAACCAACATCATTCGTATTGATGAACAACAACTAAACTCAACACCAACTTACTTAACCTTGATATTGATAAAGAAATTGAATCTCTGCCACCTACTAACATTTCAGACAATACTAACAACAGCTTTATAGATACACACAACAATAGCAAGAACCAGGAAACACAAGAGTGCATATCTGCACAGCCAACACAAGATGAAGTAGAGGTCATTGAAGAAGAAGTTGTCCTAGATATCTATCCCAAACACGATGAAATCATTAGCTTTGAAGACAACATTTCACTATCACCACCGAATGAAAACAGTGAATGCCCAAGCAACTCTGTTTCAAAGCAGGCAAAACACACCTTTACACATCACACAACTCAATCAACAGGCAGTAAACTAAATGAACAAGAAGTGATAGATCATATACAATGTAATATTGCAATACTGAAGACAACCCTTGGAAAAGCACTTAAAGTTGTAACTGGTCACAATAAAGAAGTACGAAGTTTAGACAACCAACATTACAAGCTGAAACAAATGACCAAACAAAACAAACACGAAAGAGACACACATTTGGAASAGAGACATAAAGCAGATCTCGCAAACATGCAAGTTAAGGTTTTAAAAGAAAAGTCGAAAGCAGAAAAAAAAGCTAAAAGCTTGGGAGAAAGAATATGTCATGAATCATGATCTCATAGCTCCAATACTCAAGGACATGAAAAGAGACAGTGGAAGCTCTTTCTTTTTAAAGCTGTAACTGCTTTGGGGTCCCTGTGGTAGTTTGGGTTCCCTGTGGTCTGTGGAGCGCATGCGCGGAGCCATTCTCTGGCACGGCGGCCACGGGGCCACTGAGTTTTTAAGGTTCACTGGATGTGGAAGGAAAGGGTTTGGAAAGGGATGCTGAAGAGCTTGGAGTTGGTGCGAGGAGGAAAACTTCGACGAAAAAAGGTAAACAATATGAATTAGAGAACTTGAAGGAGAATAGAMYATCGGCTTTACGGCAAGTGACAAGACAGATAAATAAAATTAGACCACTGCTTCATGACTTTAATAATTTTAAGTTTGTGTCAAGCGAGACAGAAGTTTTGAACGGTTTGATTTCTAAATTACAAGATGCTCATGACAATTATCTGAATTCCTTGGAAAACGACGAAGAGGTCGAGGATGCTGTTACATGGTTTGACACTCACGATGGAGCTATCTTTAAGTTTAAACAAACAGTATGTCAACAGAATACATGTCAAAGGCTAACGGTGTGTTATTTGAAATTAATTCCACTTCTTCAAGGGGGTCTCGTCATTCCTCGAGAAAATCTAGGCGTTCTAAGCATTCCKWTTCCTCATTAATGTCTTCGAAATCAAGGTTAATAGAATAGTTGCAAGCTCACCTGCACCCATAACCCCCAAGAATGTGCCATTAGGGGTAAGCCAGACAACAGTTAAGGGCGTGTYGTCAGGTTCAAACATAATGTCAAGTCCACGTGCACCCATAACCCCCAAAAGTGTACCATTAGGGGTAAGCCAGGCAACAGTTGGGAGTGTGTCTCCAAGTACCACCGTAGTGTCAAGTTTACCTGCTTCTATGAGCTCTACGGGCTTACAGTTAGGGGTGGGCCAGGGAACGTTGGAAGCCGCGCAAGCTCATMATTTGCGCAYAGGCCGCCCCTCCACACTAGCCCTGCACAAGGTATAGCATATCAAGCGTCTCTTCAAGGTATCCCTCCAGTATTAGGAGGTCAAGGGTTTGACAACTTTGGTCAGCCCTTACAGCATCGTCCCTTTGATATAATGGGAGCAAGTATGACACCAAGCGCATATCCACCGTATATGCAGAACAACACATATCAAGAAATAGTCGACATACAAAAAAAAACAAGCAGAATTGTCCGAAACTATCGCCGCCCAGCAGGCAAGGAGCATGTTGCCAACGCACAAGTCTCCCACGTTTTCCGGTGACGCAATGGAATTTCCATCGTTCTTAACCGCCTTTGAATCATTAATTGAGTCAAAGGTGGAAGACTCTGTTGAAAGACTTTACTTCCTGGGTCAATACATCACCGGAAGGGCCAAGGAAGTAATARGAGGTTGCCTGCAGAGGAAAACCGACGATGCCTACGATGAAGCTAAGAATCTCTTACAGCGACATTTTGGTGATCCCTTCAAAATTACTAGCGCGCACATTAACAGGCTGTCATCCTGGCCGCAGATCAAGCCGAACGAAGGCCTCGCCCTTCAAGATTTTGCGCTTGCCCTAGAACAAGCGAAATCGGCCATGAAGGGAATGTCGCACATGGACGATCTCAACACTGCGCAAGTACTACGCCAATTGTGGGAAAAGCTACCGCGTCATCTGCGCAGCAAGTGGGCCGAAAGGAACAGTAAAACTAGAAGTATGAAGGGAAGAATGGCCGACTTTAAAGAATTTTCTCAATTTGTGCGCGAGCAAGCAGAGTTAGCCACTGACCCAGTGTTCTCAGAGGAAGGTGTAACCAACCTGTCTCTTGAAGAGAAAGACAAACCTTCTCGCCCGACGTTCGGAAGAAGACCTCCTAAGAGAGTAAAGGGTTCAMGTTTTGCGACGGATCTGACGGAGAGAAAGAAGTACGTTTCTTGCGCCCTTTGCGACAAGCATCATGACTGGAACGACTGTGAACAATTCTTGAAAAAACTTCTTAGCGATCGACGTGACTTTGTGAAGGAAAAGAAACTGTGTTATGGTTGCTTTAGCAACCAACATGTCGCAAAGAATTGTAAAGATAGAATGTCATGTAAAACGTGTAGCAAGAAGCACCCAACATCTATGCATGATGATGAGTGGACAAGTAAGACAAAGAACCAAAGCGAAAAGAGCCAACCTAAAGAAACCCCTCGAGTTAGTAACAAACGTACGGATGTCTGTAGCGTCACGGAAGCTGGAGATATACCCGTGATACCGGTATGGCTGTCTCATGAGAACAATCCGTCAAACAGAGTAAAGGTCTATGCACTGCTGGACAATGCCAGCGGTGGAACGTTTGTAAAGGAWGAGCTGGCACAGAAGCTGGGCATAGAAGRAAGCGAGACTGAACCTTACACTGACAACAATACAAGGAACGGAAACCGCGTCATCGAAGGCGATTAACGGATTAATTGTGACTAACCTCACGGATGAAGACGTAAGCTTAGAATTACCTAGAACTTTCACTATGCAGGTCATTCCAGCAGACCGCAGTGAAATACCAAGACCTGATGTAGTAGGCAAGATCGATCATCTAAGAGAAGTGAGCAAGGAGATTCCACTCTACATGGAAGAAGTGGAGGTAGGACTCTTAATTGGTTTGAACTGTCCAAGTGCGCTACGACCAAGAGACGTTTACGGAAAGGAGACCGAACCATAAGCTGTACGCTCACTACTGTGATGGTACATCAACGGGCCTATCAACTCYTCGGAGTGCAACAGTCTTCACTGTAACAKAATTCTACTGGACAAGCAGATGGCATCTACGACCGCCAGAAGTTACGTTGTGGCACAGAGGACAGTAAAGGAACGGATAACGCCACAATCGGTAGAATGAATGTTTGAGTTGGACTTCTCTGAAACAGAGAAAGGAACTGCTATGTCACGCGAAGATAGGAAGTKTTATCAAACAGATGAAGACGGGATTGTTCATCTTGAAGACTCGCACTACGMGATGCCTCTTCCGCTGAAGGATCGGAACATTAAGCTACCAAAAAAGCGTTTAGAGAGTCTAAAGAAGCGACTAAAGTCAGATAACAAGTTTCACACGGATTACTGCAGCTTTATGTCCGAGATCATCTTGAAACCAAAGATGGAAAATTCTGGTACATGCCACACCATGGTGTGTACCATGCTCAAAAACCAACGAAGGTGCGTATCGTGTTTGATTGTTCGGCTAGATACGAAGGACAATCTCTAAATGACAATCTCCTTCAAGGACCGGATCTGACCAGCAAGTTAATTGGCGTCTTGACCAGATTCCGACAAGAGAGATTCGCGTTTATGGATGTTCTTCCAAGTGAAGGTGAGAAGAGAAGACCAAAGCTTCCTCAGATTCCTATGRTGGTCCGACGGAGACATCCGGAAAAAGAAGCAGAAGAGTACTGTATGACAGTACACTTTTTCGGCGCGGGATCKTCACCTGTGCTAATTATGCCCTTAGACGCACGGCACACTACAACGAGTGTGAGTTCAGTGCTGAAGTTGCCAACACTCTAAGAAAGAACTTCTACGTTGATGACGTTCTTAAATCAGCACACAYGGAAGACGAAGCTATTGAACTAGCGAAGAACGTTAAGGAGGTCTGCGCAAGAGGCGGATTCAATCTGACCAAGTTCGTCGGTAACACGGAACGCATCATTGACTCGATCCCGCAAGGAGATAGAGCTGAAAACTTAAAGAWCCTCGCTTTGGGTCAAGACAAGTTGCCAATTGAGAGGGYATTAGGAGTCCATTGGTGCATCGAGTCTGTTTTAAATTCCGAATTCAGCTGAAGGACAACCCCTGTACACGGAGAGGGATCCTCTCCACGATCAGCTCTGTTTACGATCCCTTGGGTCTCATCGCGCCTCTAGTGCTGGTCGGGAAAAGAATCTTACAAGACATCTGTCATACTAGTGACTGGGACGAACCAGTTGACGACGCCACAAGAAGCAGATGGGAGAAATGGCGGAGTGGGCTTCATCYGCTCGAGCACCTAGACGTACCAAGGAGCTTCAAGCCAGAAGGATTTGGGAACATCGCTTCATCTCAACTTCATAATATGTCCGATGCCTCGATGAACGGATACGGACAGTGCTCGTACCTACGTCTAAAGGATGAAAATGGTAAAGTACACGTTTCTTTTGTCATGGGAAAGGCCCGAGTAACACCAACAAAGTCTGTGAGCATSCCGAGACTGGAGCTAGCTGCAGCTACCGTATCCGTAAAGATTGCTGATGCCATAAAGGAAGAACTTGAGTACGCAGAAATTGAAGATCATTATTGGACGGACAGCAAGGTTGTCCTCGGGTACAACGAATCCAGAAGATTTCATACTTATGTAGCGAATCGGGTACAAGTAATTCCAGATCACACCGATCTCTCACAATGGCGCTACGTCGAAACAACATCAAACCCAGCAGACGAAGGTTCAAGAGGAATGTCAGCGAAAGGATTCATAGAGAAATCGAGGTGGATCAAGGGACCTGAATTCCWGAACGAGAAGGAAGATAAGTGGCTGAAAGAGGAAACGTTCGAGGACGGTGTAGATCCAGACTCGCCAGAAGTAAAGAACATCAGGGTGAACGCAAGCACAGTCAAGGAAGAACCTAGCAGTATACTCAGCAGATTAGAAAGATYCTCAAGTTGGCACGAGGTGAAGAAGTCTATAGCTCTTTGTTTGAAGTACAAAAGAAAGCTTAGAGACAGAATCAAGTGCAGCTAAAATTCACAAGAAAACGAGATTRTAAACAACGGGGCGTCCTCCACAACGGAAATGACTGWCAAGGATCTAGAAGAAGAGCTGAGGAAGAAATTATCAGACAAATCCAGAAAGCTGCGTTTCCATCTGAGCTAAWGAGTCTCCGAGACATCCAGAACAGCCCAAAGTACAGCAGCCGCGAGACGGACAAAGAAAGGAAAGCCGCATTAAAGAAAACGAGCTCTCTTCACACATCGGACCCCTTCGTGGACGAGAAAGGTATTATCAAGGTTGGAGGAAGAATTCGGAAGGCAAATCTATCAGAATCACTCAAGAATCCCATTATTTTGCCGAAAACGAGCCATGTGACGAAGCTGGTGATCAACCACGTCCACGAAAGGACTCATCAGCGGTAGAGGAGTCACCCTCAATGAGTTACGTGCCAGTGGCTACTGGGTCATAAATGGAAATGCCATGGTAAGACAATTCATTACCAAGTGTGTCAAGTGCCGTTACCTCAGAGTTACCACTGGATAACAGAATATGTACTTATTGACTGAGTGGGAGGGCCGGAAGGGAAAATATTTGGCTCGAGGTCATGTCGTACGGACCGAGCGCAGCGAGGTCCGTACAAATGACCAAGAGCCAAATATTTTCCCGTCCGGCCCRACCCAACTCAGTCAATAAGCATTTTATCATATGACCCAATTTTTATCGTAAAAAAAGGCTGAAAGATCTTGCTAAACCTGATAAATACAGCGCGCGTAAACCAGAACCAATAGGAGAATTCCTTTTTATTTGATTGAAAAGAAGCCATTGTTGTGATACCAGTTTTACGTACGGAATGGTTGGTAATTTTACCGGCTTTTGACTTCGTGAACTTCAAATCTTTTGTTGCTTGAGACAGGAATTCGCCAATCTTGTTCTTTCCCATCGGTCTGTTTAGGAACCAAACTTGATCATTTGGCATCCTTCTATGATTTATAGCAAGAAAAAACGGACTTTCTGGACTTTTGGCTTCTTCGGGACGCCTGTAAACAAACTGCTTATAGCAGTCCAAAGGACATTTCTTGTCGCCGCTCTCAAAAGCTCTTGGTCGGAAAGCTCTCTGGTGTTCATTTTCATCGCCGTGTCTGGTTTTAGTTTCTCTTTCTTGGAACCACTCTACGTACTCTTCGCCATTTATTTCATCTTTCTTCAAAAGTACGTCTCCAAACTTCCGCTGTCTCGCTTCGTGTCGTGCTCTATGACCAAAATGCAAAGTAATCAAGAAYCACATAGTACGGGAAAGGATCTCTGGATCATGGACTCCAAACTCGTTTTCATTAAAAATAGCATCAATATCTTTGCTTGTCAGAGGAGCAGTAGCATTTGGCTTGTTTCCTTTGCCCTCTTTTCTTAATTCTCGTCGTCTGGACATCAAGGCTTGTCTGGAAAGCTTAAACTCCTCATCTTTTAAGATGTTTACTTTTGCATTTTTATCGTCGAGGTATCGCTGGATACTTCTTGAGAAGGACGACATTGTATCAGGTTCGTACAAAGTATTGTCTTTCTTTTTTGCCTTTATGTAAAAGTTGGAAACATAAGGAGCTTCATGCGACTTTGAAAGATCTCAACGGGGTACGTGCTAAGTCTTAAAGTTACCATGACGATTGGGTTAATCCAATAAAACAGTACGTCAGCGTATTTATTCTAAAGTCATTAATCCAATTAGGACGAACACCTCTTTTCACCTCTTTGCTTCCGGTGAAGATAGCGAAATTGGGATYCCTGTGTCATACGACTTGATATTTGAGGTACGTTGTACATGTACAAGTTCACTCATCGTAAYGGAGGATCAAATAGATCGTCCTTACCTTCGTCATAAGATAATAGTTAATGTTATACTGCATAATAAATATGGTATTTTGGCGCTCAAATTCAAACCAGCATATCTCAAGATGGAGCTCGAAGACGAGGAAGGCGAGCAATTGAAGCTCCAACGTGTGTACGCTCTATCGCTCGATCATTCCAAAACATGGTATGCAATACCTAATAGCATAATGCCAAACGGAAGAAAAGAAGACTTCTTGAACTCGGATATAACAAAGTTATTTCCAAAAGAGATTCTTGAAGTAGCAATTGAGGAATTACGAACTCGAGAAGGCAACAGAGTTCACTTCCACATGTTTGGCCAGAGGAAAAAAAATGTAGTGGTTGTTGCTACGATATTCGGTCTTCTAGCAAAGACCCTCCGAACCAAGAATATAAGCAACACCAAGTTTTTTAAATCGAAAGAGTTTTTCAAGCTAAAAAAGTACATAAATGCGTCTGACTTTGAGGACAACGATGTGATGGCGGGAAATATTGGCGCCAAAAGTATTACTATGGACACACCGCCAGAAACCCCTCAAGAATACAGTAGTGATCGTCCGGATCCAGTGCAAAAGACTGGCAACCAAGAATTGCTGCAGACACTGTCAGAATCAGCGAGCATAGGTCCAAGAATTAAGGCTAAAAAGGTTAAAGAAATAACCAAGACTTTGGTCGAGGACGTAAGGAGGACATTGCTGAGCGAAGACCTAGGTGTTGTGTTGGGGTATAACTTTTCCTTTGGAGATGACAACGACAAAGATTTTGTACGGCAAACTATTTCAGCAGCCTTTTCTGTTGTTGCCGAGAAAAGCGGGTTCAAGAAAGCYTTCAAGGACATGTTAAATGAAGATGTGTACGAGGCTTTCAT